AGATTTAAGCCAAGATGAATTAAAAACGTTTTTTGATGAGCCGTTTGATGTCATTAAAGGATATCGTTGGAGATTGGATGATAAATATGACTATAAAAAAGGTTATGACCGTGCTGATTTATGGTTTGTTTCAACAGATAAAGCTCTGATTCGGTTACGTTTGGCGGTTTTACGATGGAAGTATGTAGAACAAAAAGAGGTTGAAGATAATTGGACGCAGGTTTTGTTAAAAAATGTGGTGGCCTAGGTTGGGATGAAATGTACACCTTTGAACCTGCATATGCCTTGATTGGCGATACAGCCCTTGATATTAAGTATGTCAATAAAGCGAATGCTTTGGTGCAAATGATGGTGTTAAGACAAATGATTGATTTACCAAAATCGATTATTTTTAATATGGACTGGGTAAAAGAGGCTGCACGTCAAAATAATTAAATCAAGACAGACTTTTATAAATTAACATAATATTGATTATATGAAATACCTTAATTTTTCTTATAAACACCATTTTAGAGTTCAACATACTAAAATGGTGTTTATTGATTTTTCATGTTCCATCCTTTGTTATTAAGCAATATTTCACGTTTTTTAGGCTCAGATTAACTAACCATATGGCAGGAAAAAACGGCTTAGAAAACCACGTTTTTTAGGCTCAGATTCAACATGCTCAGGAACAGGGATACGCTTATTTTCAATTTGGCTATTAGTAGTAGTCAATTCGTCATCTTTAGGTTTAGTTTCTAGTTTGGGATCTACTGTTATATTAGGTTCAGATTGATGATTATTAGCAGTTGTGGCTTGGGGTGATTTCATTTCAATGAGGGTCAACAGTGTGTCGATGCGGGAATTAGCTTTTGCCTCTCTATCTTCTGCCCTTTCTAACTGTTTTTTCAAAAAGTCGATCTGATTCTTGAGTTCTACAACTGTATTTTCGCTGTATTCAAGTGTATTATTATTTTGTATTTTATGTATATCAAGACGTTTTGAGTTTTTCCCACTAAACGGTTCACCATAGACACGGAGTAGTTCCGAGAAGTCGATAAAACCATCTTGATCACGACTTAAAACTCCATTTTTCAAGTCTTTATATAATGTTGCTCTTGATTTTTTATACAGTGTAGCAGCATCACTAATACTGTATTTCGTACTTGTTTTCATGGTGTATTACTATGTATTTATGATACGTAT